TAGGGCTATATCACGGCAACCCTTATCTCGCTGATTCCCGTTGCACTGATTTAGTCACGCCGTTTTCCGAATGATCCGACATTCGCCCTCAGTTTATTTACCTGAATTAGTCCCAAATTCTTATTCCAGTATAGCATCAATACAAGGTATTTCCACTAGTGATGTTTAATGTTTATTGTGAAATATCAAAAGAGCATATTCCTCTAGTTGCAGGTTTTGTGATCATGCATTCGTGGGGATGTTTCAGGTACGATTGTTGGTTATCTAAATGAACGTAGCGGTGAATCTTTGTGAGTTCAAGGCGTGTCATATTGACGACCCCTTTCAGTGTTCACAGTGCGCATGGTACAAGTTCGGCTGTGTCGAGCGACGTCGCACATCTTGTTAAAAGAGTAGTACAAAGATCTTGGATTTGGACGTCGCCTGGATAAATGCAGAGTTCTGGGCTATGATCAAATAACGATTGATAAATGAATTCCTTTCTCCCTAATGCAGATCCACGGTGGTGTATCATTAATAATCTCAGTTAGATGAGTACTACGGTAAATTGAAAGCAATAACTGTATAATCCACCAGATTGAGTAAGTAGTAGTAATAATAATCGAAGATAAAACGTACGAATGAATCCATATGTCTTCCTAGAGTGATGATTGAAGCACTCGACTCGAGGTGTGATTTTCCTGTTCTTCTTCTTCTTCTTCTTCAAATTGAAACACACAGGAAGATAACTTCTGTTCACGCATATGCACACACCCACATGGTATATGGAATTTTAGTTCCCATTTCAGTGAATCGTGTTTATCGGATGCTAAACATATATGTCACGAAAGTCATCCCGTGATTGAGCGTCGTCACCAGACGAAGCAACACACGATTGACCGCCCTGTGTCAATCGGTTTAGGGAATGCTCGAAAAACAGCAGTGCACGCATGCAATTCTTGTGCACCCCAGTCAGGAGTATGTACAAAATGATACAATTCAGTATAAACACACACACACACACACATGTGTGTGTGTGTGTGTGTGTGTGTGTGCGCAAATAAGAACGATAGTTAATGCGAATGCTTTTCACTACATTGCTAGTGACTGAATGAAAAATAAGTGTTCGTTCGTTTCCATGACTGCCAAATATGGGTGACAATCATTTTGAAACTGATGTAAAATAGGCGAACCGTATTGTGGGATTATTCCAACCGCTTCTCTCAACAATAACAGCATGGTCAATTTGGAAAAGGAAAGAAACTGTGTAGTCGAATAATAAAGCGCAGTACTACTATCAGTCTATATTTTTGCAAGTTATATACTTGTGATTCAGCCGTCTTTCCTCGGGTTGATCACTTTTCTTATACTGATGATATTGCCAACCCTTATTTGACATTGTCAACATAAACATAATTCTTACTCCACTTCATTGGCTTTTACTTTTAACCCCGTGCCTGTACTCTAAAATCGTTTATCAAGGTTGACTGAAGAGATACAGCCGATGAACACAGTTAGTTGTCTGAAATACTTCAGTGGAACGTTTGCAAGCAGTTTTCGTTGGTTATTACATACTCAGACTTTTGCTTGCAAGCTGAAAGTATTTTCATTGTGCACCTGGGAATTTGGTGTAACTTTCGTACTGTTCGGTCAGCGATGAAGGCGATCTTTTGCAATATCTTCTCCCTGTACTCCGTGACTGTGTGCCTGCAATTTTCCCCGACCCACTCACTGATAAAATGAAGAGCCTTGTGTCTCGAATTCCCTTTTGTGTTCCGATAAACGACGGTTAGGGTAGACGTGCTCGCAAAAGATGTGTGAAACAAATGAGTAATTGTTTGGAAAACTATTACAGCACGGTTACGGGAAAATGAAAGAATGATCTTTATTACGGGAATGCTGACGATATGCTTTCAAAAGAAGGACCTAGACGATAAGTAACTCTTTAGACCAAAGATGGACGAAAATCTGTTTTAAATTACACCGCACAATTTATGGTTCTTTACCTTCCAGCAACTTTTTTAACCAGTTACCATTTGTTTAGCTGATAGGCAATCTGCTCATCAGAAAAGCGAACACATTATGTACTACTGTACCCCCTCCTCTCCCTCATAGAACTGCTCGAGTAACCCATAAAATTCTGAGAATACTGAATGCGTGTTACTTGAGTCAATGCACAACGAAACACGATTAGTGATTTTTTCATGTGGCTGAACGATTTCCGGGACAGCTAACTATCAGTTTGTACTGATCCATTGTTTTTGAGCGGACCTGCTCCCTCCAGCTATTTTTGATCCCTGTTATTTCGGCTGGAAATATATTAG